ATATTGTATGACACGCTAAAAAAAGTACTTGCTGAGATCAAAACTCAATCTATAGTAAAGTAGTTTAATGAAAAAAACGCGATGATCAGACATAAACATTGTAATAATAATAATCAAAGCAGTCATAAATCTTGCGGTCAACAAAAAGTACAACGACCCTGAGTCCCCCTCTCTTCCACATACACACCTCACGCAGGTGAACAGGATTATAATCCCCCTGAGTGCCGCCCATAACCATGTGACCCAAAGCAAGCAACCCATTGCGATTAAACAAATATCTTATGATAATACAAACCATTACTCAAATATAAAACTAGTACAAAACAAATGTGTATATTCCAAATGCATTACTATGTACGTTTCATGGCTCCTATATTACATTCATAATTGGATAGAGGACAAATGTACTGACCCGTATTCAACACAGCTGGCCCGTGTCTGGCAGCTCTAACAGTAGTTTCCTACTTGACATTTAGGTAGCAGCATGGCTCAGTAGGAAGAGCAGTCGTCTAGTGATCATAACATTTTCTGGTAATTTACCATGACTTTAATTCCAATAACCTTGATCACCAATAGGTTGAGGTGTAACATGAGGCAAATCACACGACATGCACAAACCAAGTCCAAGTCAAATGCTCTAGTTCAGAGGTCACCAACTACATTTGCCCAAGGGCCAAAATGAATCCAAGAGACACTTTCGGGGTCCAGAGATTTTTATATATATATATATATATATATATTTATATATAATTGATTAATATGTTCACTTTATTGAAGCCTGTATCCGGGGTAATACATGTATTAATACCGTGTCCTGATTGGTGGGAAACGGTTTGCAGGATATAAGAAAATTGTTTGCCAGGCACGCAAAAATATCACTGTCAAGAGCCTCAAGTGTAAAGTTGACGTGGAAAACTGCAGTTTTAATGAGGAATGGACGGATAAATACGCATTCATCATGCCATCGTTCAATAAGGCTACGTACACCTGTTTGCCTTATCTGCAATGAAACGGTCGCTGTTGCAAAAGGACACAACAACGTTTTTTGACGAGCGTGGGGCTTCAAACCCTTGTAACTCGAGGTGACATGAGTGGGGGGCGAACGCACTAACCACTCCGCCAACGTCACAGTCACCCTCACTGTGCGGGCCGGATCAGAATGTCTGGCGGGCCACCAGTTGATGGTCACTGCTCTAGTGTGTGATTTATCCTACATGGAACACTAGAAGTGGGTTTCAAGTTTCAAGGCTTTATTGTCATTTGCACATTAGCTACAGTGTAGATATGGCAATGAAAAACGTAGGTCAAAGGCTCCTCCAACAGTGCAGCATACTGTATATATAGGACATAGAACAAATGAAACAGATAAAATAGTGCAATGGTTAATGTGAGTGCTATGCTTTTCCTGTCTGCCTGACAATTGTTGGTTAAAAAAAGTTATAAAATAATTGCCTCAAATGTAATATCTTGTCTTGATTAGTTTGCTCAGTTAAGCATTTAAACAACGTCATTTGATAATCTAATAGGACTTCATGAGCAATGCAGAAGATGAGATGAACAGTTCCTGAGATATGCGAAGGACATACAGCCAGACAGAGATTCCTTACTTTATAGCTACACTTACACACTTAAAATCACAGACAGAAATCCCTGTTCACCTAGCTCTCTTTTCCTCAGTACAAAAACTAATCAAGACTTTTTGTTTTGTGCGTGTGATCCAGACAGCCTGCCTCAAGACGCACACAGTAGCCATTGATACCTCCACACAATGCACCCTCACAAGAAAACACATGGGATCACAATGCTGCGGCTGCTTCACGTATGCCTGTGCATAAAATTACATTGGCAAGGAACAGACAAAAGACAGTGCTGTGCTGTATTAGCATCCATGCCGTCCACAATACACACACACACACATACACACTGTTCACCCCTCACAGATTTTGAAATGGATTTCCTTGCGTCACATCAGAGTACAATGCTGGTACAGAGGCCTGTTTTAGCTGCAGGGCTAACATACTGCACCACTGGTTGTTAGTGTGAGCGAACCTCTTCTATAATTGAACACAGCGGATGACTTTCATATGTTTCAGAGTGTGTGTCCCATGCTCTACTGATTTACTTTACTAGGTACAATCTGCACTGTCACACATCACTGTCTCGTTTTAGGTCAGGTGTTAATTTATAAATAGCTCTGAGTAATAATTAACATCAGCATTTCCTCTGGGGTTTCACTTGCATGTGGTTTAAAGAAAGAACATCTGAGATTATTGTACTTTGTTAAATATTATCAATCAGTGATGTTTTCAGGTCAGTTTTTTTAGTGTCTGCCACAATACCTGAAGCTGTTCTTTCTGCCTATATCTTAACAACAGTTTTCTTATTATTACATTATACAAAAACACTCACACACTTTTTTTTTACGGCTGTAGTCTTGGTAGCATTTTATTTTTGCGTTTTAAGATAGCTGCATCTTTTTCACAGGTTTAAAAAAGTATTGTGTTGTGCGTTCTAATAGAGGTTTCCCTGTTTAGAGAAACAAACAAGATAGTCAGCTTTTTATTTGGATCTAAGAACCAGCCTGGGATGTTATCGTCCTGTGAAAAAGCCATCAAATCTGCAGTTATCTTCTCAAATAACATTATTTCCTGTCCTGCCTCTGAACAGGAATTGGATCAAATGAACACAATGTATACTGAATTAAACAGATGTGAGCTCGGTTTTGATTATCACGATGATGTTCTTCAGCTCTGGCCCTAAAATATAGCATAAACATGAGGTGCATAGCTTTTTCTGTTACAATCTTAAAGTTTTAGGGATGAACTTAAATCGGCTTGATTTGGCTTTATTGTGTTTAATATTGTCCATCTTTTATCCCCAATCCAATCATTCTTAACAACATTTTGTTGTTGTTGTATTAAATCAGTCAAATGTACACTGTTGGAATAAAGTTGTTTCTCAACCATTGATAGTATTGTCACTAGTTGGCAGGATAGCTGCCTTTGTTCCCTTTACATTAAATGAGTTGGAGGGACATTAAAATGATCTGATACAAATAGTTTTCTCCGTCAATTTCAGAGGGGAACATTCACTATCCAAATGATATTTCTCTCTTTGTCAGAACACATAATGAGTCATTCCGGGATATATATTGTCACATCCTATTTCCTCCACCACATCTGCTGTCAACAATCCTCCACAACAATGGCTGTACAGGATACTATAGTGTGTAAGAGCCGCACAAACACAGTTTCCCCTGCGTCCATGATCACATGGTCCTCTGCTGCAGTAAATACCTGTTTCAATCCTGACTTAGTGTCTTCAGCATTGTGTTCTAATACTGAAGATTTTACAAGATTTAAGAGTTTTCTGGACACTTTACTACTGTAGCTTGCATCTCGTTACATTTAAGTAATCACTCAAATTTAACAAAGTACATTTCTTGCTAAATCTATTGTGTTAAGCAACTTCAAAAAATATAGAAAGAAAATGCTCTGAGCCTCATGCAGGCACATCCCTCGTCTACTGTATTTAGAACATTGTAATATACTGTATGTGGTTGACAGATACAAATAATTGCCATTCACAGCACACACACACACACACACACACACACACACACACACACACACACACACACACACACACACACACACACACACACACACACACACACACACACACTACACACACACACACACACACTGAGGACAGGTTACACAGAAAGCTTTAGCATCTGTTTTTGTGCAGCATTGAAAAGCTTAACTTTTTTTTCGAAGCGATGTGAGGGGGGCATTTAGATTAATGAGTGTGGACATGGTGGCATGTTTATGCAACAGCTTAAAGTTTAAACACATTGAACACACACAAGCACACATGGATATACACAAGGCTACACTTTTATACTAACTGAGCCAGTATTTGTCCTAAGAAGGCTACGAACTTAAATGACAGATGTACCTATACCACAGGGCTTTCAAACTAAATTACCTCAAATTTAAAATATAAATAGTTTTTTTGTTAATTGTAACAGATGCTAACACAATTTAGAAATATAAACTTGGTTATACTTCAAAATTATTTGTAATGTTGTTTAAGCCGCAGCAGCTTCCTGTCTTTCTTTTCTTTTTCATTTTGGCGGTAAAGTCGTTCTTTAGTTGTCATTTGGATTACAGATTGTGGCAGAGAGACCGTGTTTTGCTCCAGGCTCCTGCCGTTTTGCAGGGATTAAAACCTGTGACCTCTGTTATATAAAATAAGAAGCTCATTTAAACAACAACAGGCGACAGGGATAAAGTCATAAAGGTTGAAATGTTAAATATCTTTAATTGTGCAAAACCAGTGTCGACTTTCCGCATTTATCAAACCTTCCTACAGTATTTATCCCACTCTCATTGCGTGTGACGCTTCTGATCAACAAATGCTTCCAGTCAGTGTTTATCATGGAGGACGAGCTGTGTGGGCGTCAAATGCAAACATATTTTCTCTTGCAAACACTTCCTGGGAAGCTGGCCTTGCACATGTTGTTGAATGCTACCGTGAAGCTGCTACTGTCCTCTCAGACTGCTACTGCAGGAAACTAGTATCTAAAGCCCTATTGGGAATTCAGTTTACAAGGCCAGATGATAAATGAGTTAATATTGGCAGTAAAAAGCATCCTTGAACTAGAAGTGCTACATTTGTTAGGCTAATGTTTGTACGTATCAGATTTGAGAATGCATTTAACCCTCACTGAAATCCTCTCAGCAGAAACAGAGCGTGCTCTCCCTTCTAACCACAGCAGGTTTCAATGTCATGTCAAATATGGTTTGATGCTGCTGTTGATAGTGGAAATCTGATTTGGCCACAGAACCACTCTTATCACACATACAGCCTTCACTTAGGACCAGTGTTGGTCTTATTGCAGTAACTGCAGTTAGCCTTCTAATAACCACCAGGTGTTTGCACCAAATTGTGATCCATTTAATAATCACAGTTTTAAATGTTTTCTCTCCTCACAGGTCCTTAATGCCCAGAAAGCCGGGTACAAGGCAGCCATTGTTCACAATGTGGACTCTGATGACTTAATCAGCATGGGATCAAATGACTGTAAGTCACCACAACCTTAGTATTTTTGCTCTTATATGGCACAAAAGCATTTAGTGTCTTCTACAGCTGCCTGGTGTTTCTGTTGCTTTTGTTTATCTCTGAATCCCAGAGCCTGTGGAAAAGCTGGGGAGTAGATCTAAAATCTCAAGATCTACTTGAGTAAGATTGTGATGCCCTAAAGCACTGTAGCACTCCTTGTCTATGAATCCATGTCGTCTTCCCTCTAGCCCATTTGTGATATGATGGCGTCTACAATCCTCAGTGGAGGGACAGAATAAATTATCCAACGGCTTCCCGTACTGGTCATTGTTTTAGAATAGATGTCACAGCTGATGTTTTATACACTGGGTGATGTCAGTTGTCGGCATCGAGGGATTTCTCCCGTCACTTCAGCTCCCTAACAGTGTTGGTATGCTTAACCGAAGACCGATGGTCACACAGCATTCAGGTTGAATGTTTTAACAGACTAAAATCGGTTGATACTTGCATAAAATTGGAAATGAAAGAAAATCAGAAAATGACCATTACCATTTCCAAAGCCCAAGTTTACGAATGGCTTGTTCTGAACAACAATCAAAAACTCAAAGATTAGGAAAACCTGCATATAACTGGAACAAGTGAGTTTTTCATGGTATGTTCTGCCAATAATGACTAAAGGATTAGGCAATCATCAAAATGTTGCCACCTAATTATCGGTCGATCAACAAAACGATACCCAAAGAATTCAGATCAACCACCTGTCATTGTATTCATTAGTAAATGGAGTTTCCTTAGTTGAATAACTTTTTTAGTAGATTAAATCAGTTGATAAAGAAAACAGCTGAAACCGTCATGTTTTAGGATTGTTTATCGGATTAAGGCATTGAAATACAATCACGTGATATATTAAATGTTTTTTTTCTTTGCTTTTTTAGTGGATGTTATGAAGCAGATCGATATCCCCTCTGTGTTTGTGAGCGAGGTGACGGCCAACTCTCTGAAAGACGACTTCACGTATGACAAGGGGTAAGTCCAGACCCCAAATCTCCTTCATCCACCCATCAATAGAAATAAAAGCAGGGTTAACCTTAAATCAGTATGATTTTCTGATGAGATGGCTGCTTTTCATTCAAACCTGTCTAGCATTTGTATTTGATATCTAGTTGTGGAGTAACGCTTGCAGCATGCATTGTAATATATCATGGAGGAAGATCCGTCCTGTGATTGGCTGTCACTGCAGCTGAGGTGGTAATGAAATGTCTCAGCATTTACAAGGAGTCACAGCGTTAAAGTTTGCCACTATTAAATCTCTCTGTGTGTGTGTGTGTGTGTGTGTGTGTGTGTGTGTGTGTGTGTGTGTGTGTGTGTGTGTGTGTGTGTGTGTGTGTGTGTGTGTGTGTGTGTGTGTGTGTGTGTGTGTGTGTGTGTGTGTGTGTGTGTGTGTGTGTGTGTGTGTGTGTGTGTGTGTGTGTGTGTGTGTGTGTGTGTGTGTGTGTGTGTGTGTGTGTGTGTGTGTGTGTGTGTGTGTGTGTGTGTGTGTGTGTGTGTGTGTGTGTGTGTGTGTGTGTGTGTGTGAGATACCATCCAAATACATGAGGGTTATTTATTTTGCAGAGGAATGAACACCAAACATGGTATGGGCAGAGTTTAGTCTGTGGGAATCACATTGGCTGTTACATATTTCTGCAGTAGAGGAAGTTCTGTGAAAAGGAGTCGACCCCATGATAAATAACAGTGTGAAAAATCATTGGACTAAATTACTGCTAAATATTTTTTCAACAACAGTGAAACTAATCCCTACAATGTTGCAGCCAAAAAAGTGAGCCGTAGTAACTTGGTGATGTAAAGCAGCCTCTGTGGAGGTCACATTCAGTGTGTGTGTGTGTGTGTGTGTGTGTGTGTGTGCGTGCGTTACCTGCATACACCTGACAATGACACTGCTCGTTGTTTCAGGGGACACGTGGTCCTCATGCCAGACTTCAGTCTGCCACTGGAATACTACCTGATCCCCTTCCTCATCATTGTGGGAATCTGCCTCATCCTCATCGTTGTGTTCATGGTAAGTTATAATGCTACTGTGATGTCCATATCAAATACAATCTAATAAACCTAAAACTAAAATACATTCTAATGAACTGTGCATCATATTTAAAGATGTACTACTTCTTAATTTGTTTAATGTAGTTTATCTATAGTAAATCTGTCTGATGATTGAAAATGGTATTCTAACACAACATTCTCCTGAGAATCATTAAAATTAGCAAAGGTACGTTTTGAGTTTGATTGGCTCTTCGTTGGGCACCAGGCGTGTCTGGTGTCCTATTTGGACTCAAGCCTCTTTTCCTCTTGTGACAGTTTTCCTGTCTCAAAGACAAAGTAGACATGAACGATTTGTCTGTGTTTTGTAAACTGATTGTAAATGTATACTGTCAAATGTTTTCTCTGCTTTTCCTAGATCACCAAGTTTGTCCAGGATCGACACAGGGCTCGGAGGAGCCGCCTGCGGAAAGATCAGCTAAAGAAACTTCCCATCCACAAGTACAAGAAAGGTATGGAGGCAATATTCAAACTAATCCAACTCTCCAAACATCTCTATGGAGAAAAAACATTATGCATTTCACCGTAAATGGATGGCCTGTTTGTTATGTAACTCAGAGTCTGTAGAGGTGCTAGTTCCTCCTCTTCCATGCTCCTCACATGATTCGGCCCAGAAGGAAGATTTCATCAATGCATTACGGCACATAATTCATTATTTCTGGAGCTCTGCACCTTGTAGCTAATCAGATTAATATGGACTTGATCGTTCCACAAAGCCCTGCGTGGCAGATCAGAGCTCGTCTGTTGAGGCTGGACACATGACTGATGGTTTGGTATTGAGTGGGGGTCTCAGAGGCCTGGAGGGGGTTGAAAGTTAAGTGTATTTAGTTTTTTATCTCAGATGTGTTGAACGGATTAACAGCATTTGTCCGAATTTTGGAAGGATTGAATATGAATGGTATGATGTGAAAATGTCGCGTGACCATTATCCTGACAAAATAAAATATTCCATATATATTCCCAAAATGTTGCATCACAGATAAGACACACGTTTTTCTCTTTTTCTTTTTTCTGCCTCTGTTCCGTGAAAGCCAGGCTGTCGCGTTGTTTTGCAAATCAAATCCTCTTTGTGCTTTGGTCAAGTAACTTTTGTCTGTATATTGAGGGTGTTTTTGTGCCGGATGTGTTTCCTCCAGCAGCTGCTTATCGCAGACTGGAAATCCCCGGGCTCCAGTCAGCTGTGCAGGGCAACACCAGGGAGCTTTATAGACTACGGGTGGCGCATGATAAGTAGCACCCTTGCAAAGCGGCTAATTTAGGGGGCTGTGAGTCGGGCTGCTCCCCCCCGCCTGCCAGACACTGAAGCACATGCATCACACCCGCTAAAGGCAGTGTGTGCTGCTCAGATATCTGTTTTTGTCTCGTCAGGCTCTGTAGTTTGTGTGATCTGGTGGCGGTGCCCACTCTGACTCAGGGTTTCCACCAGGCACCGCTGCAGACGACCTTGGCGTTCAGATGTCCAGGCCTCCAGAGCGTCTGCGCTCCCGACAGCTGAGTCAGAGCGTTTGGAGCAATGAGGTGACACCAAATCTCCACCGATAACCTTTTAAGCCCTGCACTCTGGAGCGAGGTAGCTTGGCAAAGAGCCGGCTGCTGCTCTGAGCATTAAAACAGGCGAGCCTGATGGGGGCGTGGCTTATTATTACACAGTGTCTACACAAGGTCTTTAGTAAGTCTTCTTTGAACAGAAATAGCTAATTTTGTATTGATGTAGAGTGATAGAAATTAGCTCGATAATGGCTGATGTACTATTACATAGAAGTCTATTGCTAGGAGGTTATATATATTTTGTATATATTATATTTGTGTGTTTATTTAAGAGGACAACAAAGTCAATGTTATGTCACCTATTGGTTTGTGGACCACGTTTTGAAGCTTGGCATTTTTTCCTTCACTATCTTTGTTTTTGGATTCAGACATAACACGCGAAGGTTAAGCTTTACCGTTTGCCAAAAATAAATAACTTTCAGTTGACAACAATTGTAAAAGTTTAATTATTACTTAACTTAAAAACACACTGAAAAGGATTACATTTTCAAACACCTAAACTAAACAACGCTGTGGTGGCAACATTTAAATCACAAGGTTGCCAGATTTACAATAACACAGGATTATATATGTTATACTGAAACCACACAGAGTAATGGAAACACATTGTATAATCAGTGGACTATTCAAGGCATGGTGGCAGTGTTATAATACAGTAGCCCATACACGGAAACAATGACGAGCTGGCATCCCAAAGCTGCTGTTGCATTAGCTCATCAGAATACCAGTGGCCATTGTTTACAGCATGCTGATAGTGTTTTTTTATTTCATCTTAAGCCCCTTGTTGTGATACATGAGGGTGTGTGTGTGTGTGTGTGTGTGTGTGTGTGTGTGTGTGTGTGTGTGTGTGTGTGTGTGTGTGTGTGTGTGTGTGTGTGTGTGTGTGTGTGTGTGTGTGTGTGTGTGTGTGTGTGTGTGTGTGTGTGTGTGTGTGTGTGTGTGTGTGTGTGTGTGTGTGTGTGTGTGTGTGTGTGTGTGTGTGTGTGTGTGTGTGTGTGTGTGTGTGTGTGTGTGTGTGTGTGTGTGTGTGAGCCATAGTGAACAGCAACACTGTGGAGCTGTGTGAGTGTTGCTTCTAAAGCCGTAACTTTGCATGTTAAAGCCACTAGATCACAAACTATACTCAGAAGACTCCAAACTTCTTTATGTTAATACTAACACAGTGAAATAAGCTCCACCCAGTCTTTGTCGTAATTTGAGTTTCCTGGTTGCAGTAACAGTCAATATTGGAGCAGTCAGTGAATGCATCACAGCGTACCATCAGAGACTTATAAGCAACATAACAGAGATCACTTACTGTAAGTGCATCTTTTCACTTTCATTTCTCTCACTATTAATAATAATAATAAACGTTATTTATATAGCCCCTTTCATGCTTGACGCAGCCCACAGTACAGAGAATGACAGAAAATGACAATAACAAGTGAGGAACATAATTAAAACAAGGTATACACAGAAAGAGTTATATCATAGAACAATAAAAAATGAACCGTGATACTACTAAAAAATTACAATTGCCCCAAATTAAAAAGATAGGTCTTTAATTTACTTTTAAATATTCAAATTGAGGTTGCTGTTCTAAGCTCAAATGGGAGGATGTTCCACAGTTTGGGGCCATAAAAACAGAAAGCAGCCTCCCCAGTTTTCTTGCAATGTACTCTAGGTACTTCTAAAATTAAAATATTGGAGGATCTGAGTGTCCTGCAGGTTGGTAAAATGAGAGATGAATAAGAAACTACTGTTCTGCTGTGATTTATTCCAGAGGAGGGAGAGTTTAATTTGAACATGGTGTGATGTTTTTTCTGAGAAAGTCAAGTCACCTGGGGAGGACCCAGCTGATCAGCCTGGACTGCTGCTGCTGTGCTGGCAGGAAGCCGTTCTGCTGATCTGTGTTTCAGCACCTCCTAATCACACATCCATCAACTCTACAAACACTTAGTCAGGCGCACCAGCTGCTTTTCACATCCTTTAGACATGTCTTGCTGCTGTCGATGAGCCTGTATTTAATTTAAACTTAAAATATTTGCGTCTAATATTTATCTTATTGTATAGACATTACAATTGGCCACTTGACAGTTCTTGTGTACATTTGGGCCAGAGGCTGTAGGCATAATGTCAGACGTGCATGTAAAGAATTGCAGAGGCTAAAATGAACGGTAGCTAACACAAAGGGAGTCTGTATGGATAGCACACAATGCCTTAAACCATGGTACCCGTGTAATTAACGTACAATACCAGTGTGAGCAGCAGCATGCAGCGTCAGATCTGTGTCAATGTACAGGATTATGTAATAGCAGCTGCCACAGCTGTCAGCGAGCCGCGCCGCTCTGCCGTTAGCTTGACTTACGCTCTAGCGGTTTATTGCACAGCCTTGCGTCATCCCCACTTAGCCTGAGAGCCTGACGTTCTGGCGTCAAGCAGGCGTTAAAGTCAGACACACACAAAGTCACTGCAAACTGGCTGAGGAAAAGGAGGGGGGGGGGGGGGGGGGGGGGGGGTTAGACCGCTCATTATAGGCCAGACTCTCCCTCTGACCTCTGAACCCCAGTCTGGTCCCTCCCTGTGTATGATGAGTCACTCCGGCCTGCCCATCCACGGCTTTCCACTTCCAACCCATAAGCAACCACACACACACACACACACACACACACACACACACACACACACACACACACACACACACACACACACACACACATTGACACCGACACACACACAAACACACACACACAGAATAGAGCAGCTGCAGTGTCTCAGTGGTGTGTGTGTGAGGCATGTTGATGTGAGTACAGAGGAGCTCTCTCTGTCTCAGCTCGCTGCCAGTTGTCCTGGTCGAACTGTGGAGAAGCTTTTTTTTTTTTTTTTTTTTTTTAACATCGTATTTCTGTCGTCCTCTTTTTATTTTCCCGCTCTCTCTCTCTCTCTCTCTCTCTCTGTCTCTGCTACGCTCACTCCCTGCTCAGCTGAAGTTCAGTAGGACAGCGAGGTTCCTCGGAGAGCAGGAATGCTGGCAGGCTGGCTGAGAAATGAGAAATAAAGGGAGTAGAGCTGCACTGGCTCGTGAGTCCTTTTAAGATGTGCTACTGGCCCCAAATCGTAAATGTAAGGGATACCCAGAGTCTGTAGAGTGTACACATTACACAAAACATGATTTAGATGTTTTTAATCGCCTTGAAAAAACATCTTACCACCTAACCTCTTAGCTTTTTCAACCCTCACATAAATAAGTGAAAATAGTTACAGTGCTCTTTAGAAATCAACATGTTTTACATATTTCTTCCTGTTGATTGACCTTTTTTGTGCTTATTATCTACAAAAAACAACGTATACATCATTATTTTTTGATTTAATTCTCCGCCTGCTCTTGTTAGAAGATATCTTTTTACCTTTTGAACATTATCTGCTCTACACACATGTACTGTACCTGCGAGACTCATGAAAGGGAACCTGGTCTCACATGTTCAGATCACAGTAACGACATTACTGACCCCTGGTAGGAGCTTCTAGAAGTGAAGAGCGGGTAACGGCAGCCCCTCTTTGATCAGCAGAGTGTAATTTGTTCCGTGAAAAGCGAAGAGCGTAGCAGACTTATGACTTGGTCTGAGTTATGTTCTGCTGCTGAACGCTGCGTTCCTCTCTGCACACCGCTCAGAGGTCTGGATTCAGTCAGTTCTCAGGCTCCGAGGTCAGCAGGTCACACGTCTTTTGAATAATGCAACCAGAAAAACTCCACTGAAAGTTTTCAGACATCCTGTTGAGCAGGTTCAGTGAAAGTACACATATTTATTTTTGGTGTTAGCTGCCAGGCACTCTATCTCTTCTTACAACACGTGACATAGGAGATGTGTACAGTCAGAGAGAGACAGAAGAGTGTTTTAATTTATGACAAAAACTAATTCATTAAACTATAATGTTGGTAAGTGAACTCTGACAACACAAAGTGAGCAGATTAACTCTTTAACCTTATTGCTCATGTTTCTTTCCCCCATTGGTGTAATGTCACTAAGTACATTAGCTGTGAGTATTTTTATAGTACCTTTATTTTACATATTTAGCTACTTGTTACTTTGCAGATTTAGGTTAACACAAAACATACATGGACACATACATAATCATATATTATTATAGGTTAAGCTTAACAGTAGTGTATAAAGTAATTCAAATAAACCCCACATATACATTTTGATGCTAATACTTCCTTTTAACTTACGTTCAATTTTGAGCTTTTGCTTGTTACTTACTTGAGTATATTTACACTGTAGTATTGCTACATTTACTAAAGTAAATAATCTTCTTCCACCTCTGCTTGCCCCTTAATTTAATTCCATTACTTTTTCTACGTATGTCGGTAAATAACGAGATATAACCAATGAACTCAGTTATTAGGAATGGTGGCCCAAACCACAAGCATTAGACCGTAGTTGTAAAACAGATCTACCCTTTAAGGTGCCTGAGTTCAGTCGCCTCTGAACCTTCCCTCTGCTGCACTCAGAATAGATTCGTTAGTGCCACAGTTCAGCATTTCCTGAGTATAAACTGGACCGCAGCCTGCACAAACGTTTCCTCTGCCTCACCCCGACTGCTCAGCACAGTCAGAAAGAGACGAAAAGATGGAGGCCTTCTTTGGATTTTGTTGAATAAAAAAGGACAGGTGTTGGGTAAGAGTGATGTTTAGGAGAGAAACACGCTCAAAGTTTGAAAGTTTTTTTTTTTTGTCCCGCAGCGGGCAAATCTACAGCAAAAGTGACATAGCACATGAAAGGCAATCAGTAATAAAGTAGCTAACATGTTTAAACATAAAGAAAAAGCACACATATGAAATAAAAGTATTAAGGACTCATCCATGGCTAAAAAAGAAAAGTAGCAGCATTTAAATGAACATGAAAATATTACGTTTTGAGAGACTATAAAAGTTATGTTTTGCACATATAAATGATTATGGTTAAGGCAGCAGAGTTGAAAACATCGCCTTCAAGTTGAAGTTGCTCACACTCGGAGAGAGGAGGAGGAGGTGGTGGGGGGCGATGTGACTCCCCATCCTTATACGGTCACATGCAGCCCTGGCACGGACACAGAGAGCCCGGTCGGGGAAAACATGCTCATTTAGAGCTTATATAAACACACCGACCCACAGCCTGCCCCCCCCCCCCCCCTCCCTGCACCCGGCCAGGGAAGAGGAAGGCAGGGGAAATGAGAAGAAGGCTGAGGAATGTGGAAGGGAGTGCGTTGATACATTCCTGAGCTTTCAGTGCACAGAAATACCTCCTGTATCGTCAGGAAACGCAGCTCTGACGATTCAGCGATGATTCTTCCTGGGATTAGACTTGACACAATTTATACGATTTAGGGAAATAAGACTCATAAAGCGGCTAAAGTTCCTTACTGCCAGATACGTCATGGACCCACCTGGCATCAAAGATTTTGAGGAAAACAAAAAAACAAATCACTTAATCTTCTTTGCACGAATAATAACCTTTCTGAACTGCCGTAGTCACTCGTCTCTTTACTATTTATTTTACCTGATGTTATCCAACATGAGACATGCAGTTAATGAAATCTATTTTGACTGTCCCTTGGCAATTAAGGGGAACAAAAGAAAAACAAGCAGCACTTGTTGAATTAATTTAGTCCTTGTAACTGATTTTAGCTTGAAGTGAATATATCTGCACTTTCCTTGTTGTTCGGAGTTTGATTCTTTATGATTCTTGCACTTTTTTACAAGTCTCTTTGGATATCAGCTAAATTATATGTAATGTAATGTAACTACTTTTATTAAACCTTATTTCTTGTATTCTTTTTGATAATAAAATGGATGGATCATGGTGGATTTCTACACTTTTTTCCACACAGGAGACAACTACGATGTGTGCGCCATCTGCCTGGACGAATATGAAGAAGGGGACAAGCTCCGAGTCTTGCCTTGTTCTCATGGTGAGTCTGAATCCTGCACTGTAGATCAACTGTTTACCTTTGTGTGACACCAAACTCAACACAGGCCAACCGAGGAGAGCATTGCTTAAGATTAAAACCGTTTTTTCTTACAAAATCCAACAATACTTATTCTATCATTCTTCATATATGTTTTCTTATTGTCAACAATGCCCATGAGCCCAAAGTTAAATGAGGGTCCTAGGATGGTTTGGCATCAACTAAATGACAGTGCTCAGTATAATGAAGAAACCCTCCACCCATTGTTGCTCATTAATGTGTTTTCAATAGTTTTGGCAGACTGGTGCAGAGAAATAAGCTACGTCAGGCTTTGGCTACAGAGGCAGAATTTTTATATCCAACAGATTGAAACAGAACCTGCAATAGTGTTTTATTGTCAGAGTTTATAGATGTTTTATCTTCACGGTCTACTCTATATTTTTTACTTTTTAATGCTGCTTTAATTCTATTTTGAGATGTTTTAAATTCTAGTTTTGTTTATTTTTACTCTTTAATATCTACTTATGTGCAATGCCTTGTTTTGTTGTCTTTTATGCTTCTGCAACCAGTGGCGGTTCTTGACCAATTTTACTGGGGGGGGGCCAGGCTGGGGCCAGTGATTTCATGAGGGGCACAATAAAAGTGGGTTACAAAGACAAAGACAGTATAAAGTAATTGTGTAAAATAAACATAAAATACAGTTATTGGTATTTGTAGTTTTTTTTATTTAGAGTATTTGTTTTAGTAACTTTAAGTGACAATTTAATTTAAAAACATAAACAGTACAGTGTTTCCCACAGATATGAAATATACTTGGGCGGGTGGTGGCAAGGGGGGGTGCGCGAAAAAAAAAAAAAAGTTTTAACAACATTATTTATTGACTTTTCATTCCGGTATAATCATTTTGCGCAAAGATGGCACTGTTTTTCAGAGCACTTCATCCTTCTGGGATTTCATGAAGAACAGCTCCAACGCCTGTGTGTATGGGAATGGTGGTAGCGGGGGGGGTTGAGGTGACGTGCAACAACATTAACCTTTCTGTTGGTCGCTTGTTAGCAGACCCTTCACGTGATGGCAGAGCGAACAGGTACAGGTACAGGCAGGGTCCATAATGATAGCCCTATAGTTTAAATCTACTATCCACACATGAACATATGGAAATGGGTTACTATTTAAAAAAATAAATGTATTTATTAATGTATTTAGGAACCTATCCATGTGATTTTTAGTGGGGGTCGACCTCAAATCCTCTAGGGGGGTCCAGGGGCATGCCCCCCCGGTAAGATTTTATTTTTTATTTTGGAGTTAAATGCATCAATCTGGTGCATTTTGAGGGGAAAATAAAGAGACTAGATCTATGGAAACACCTATATTTAACAGAACTGTATACATTTCAATAATCATAAAATCAAGGCCATAACCAATAACATACCATTTCCAATATGAAAAAAACACTGAAACTTGTTTATTAATTTAGTTTTGGTTCATTTATAGTTGTGAGTGTGTCTGTGCTCCTGAATCAGCCTCTCCTGTCTCCCTCCTCTCCCCCCTCTCCATCCTCTCCCCCTGCTCCTCTTTGAGGCAGCAGCAAAGACTAGTTTTCTCTCAACAAGTTTTAAAAGTGTATCTTACCTTTTTTCACCTAGTTAACTTTTTATTTATTTATTCATGCATATTTTACTAATCACATTACATTTCATTTAGCTGACGCTTTTATCCAAAGCGACTTATAATGACCGATTACAGGGACATTCTCCCTGGAGTAACTAAGGGCTAAGTGCCTTACTCAAGGGCACACTAGTGGTGGTGTTCCTGGCGGGATTTGAACTCACAGCCTTCCGATCTTCAGCCCACCTCACTATCCATTAGACCAATCACTACCCTCTCAAATGGAAATATGTGTTTACATAAATGGTGACCACATCGTTTGAGACCCACTGAGAACTTAGACTAAGTTAACTATCTAAACACTCAGAGAGTCCTTTACCTCACCTGAGCTGAGGTTATCCCGAGCTTGAATGACACACAGAGACCAATCAAGGGCTTTGATTTATGATCTGTATGACAGTGGCCATGTCGGCAGGCCACATCATGTGGACAGCCAGTCACCCTGTGTGAGGCAGGCCACTTCACAGGCCAGAAGGAGGCGAGATCAGAGCAAGGGAGCGAGGGATCATTGTCTACAAGTTAATCGATCGCAGATGGCGTCGTGGTCACGGACGAATAAAAAAAAAAAAAAAAAAAAAAAAAAATTATAAAAAAAAAAAAAAAAAAATAAATGGGTCGCGAAATATACTTGGGCGGCCGTTAATATACCTGGGCGGCCCGCCCAAGTATAGTCTATGTGTGGGAAACCCTGCAGTATTTGCTTTTATATAAGGTAATGAACAGTTTAATCTCCACTGTACATCCGGTTCTCTGATTTGATTTAGTTCCAATAAATCGTACTATTGTAACCTTTTTTTTGGAGGGGGGCCACAGGGGGGTCCCTGTTCAGTGTTACAGGGGCACTGGCCCCTGTTGGCTCTCCCCCCTAGAACCGCCCCTGGCTGCAACGCAAACATTTCCCCATTTGGGATCAATAAAGATCCTCTTATCTTATCTTTTTTGGATTTGTTGACAATGAGAAGTTGTCTTTTAAGAACAACAAAACAACACAGGGTATTTTCAAGTGCTAACAGGTCGTTAACTCGCTTTATAATTATAATAAATGACTTTGTTCCGCTGACTGTTACTGTCGCCCGCAGCCTACCACAGCAAGTGTGTGGACCCCTGGCTGACCAAGACCAAGAAGACGTGTCCGGTGTGTAAGCAGAAGGTGGTCCCGTCGCAGGGGGACTCTGACTCGGACTCCGAGGAGGGGGATAGCGGCCTCGATGAGAACGAGGAGGTGTCGGAGAGCACCCCCCTGCTGCGCTCCCTGGCCTCCACCAGCGCCCACTCCTTCGGCACCATGTCGGGGGCCTCTCGCTCCGAGCAGGACCCCGAGTCCTCCGACTACGAGGACGACGAGCTGGACAGCAGCGACAGCGACGACGAGGTCACCGTGGAAACCGTGGTGGTGCAGATGCAGCAGCCCTGCTCTGAAGACCACGAGCAGGACCTGCCCCAAGCTTGACTGATTGTTGGCACTAAACCCCCCCTCCCTTCACCCCACAACCTCTCAGCTGCAGAGACATTGGGTGGGGGGGGTCACAAAACAGATTCATCTCTCTTCTGTCACTGCTTACAAGACATTGTATCGTATTGTCCTTACAAAGTTTCAAATGCATATCTACGTTTTTTTTTTACATGATTTCAGATAAAGTGCTGATGTGTGACAGGAAGTCGGGAGCGGCAGGTTGGTGATGTACAGTAGACTTTTATACTGTACTCTTTAGTCAAAGATGATAGACGGATGGAAAAGTCCTAGAAACATCACGCTTGTTCAGTAAAAGTACTATGTATATAAAAAGTATAAATCACAATAAGTTGCATCTTAACCTTTGACCATCTTCTACATGTTTCAGATGGAGGTTCATTACTGTACATACATGCTACACTGACACTCCAACAACTGCTATGCAGCATCCTTTTTGTAAAATAAAAAACTACAGAAACATTTTAAGCCACAGCAATATGGTTTTGCCAATGTATCTCTAGCCTGATATGAGGGAGCCAAGGTGCTCCTGTCTGTTTTGTGCCACGGTTAATCTGTTACGAATCACTCTGACAAACTGAAGCCAAACCAGTTTGAGAAACTCGTGGCTAAGAATGTCTCCATGTGACGTCACGTTGTGCAGAGACACTCGAGTGGAAACTCACGCTGCCTGTGGGGAACTTCTTCTGGCTGCTGCAGACCTATCACTCTTAACACGCGCCGTTATTGGTGGATAGTCCTGTGACACACATTTAACTGACCTTATCTCATTTGAAGTTTATAGTAAATATGCTTGTTTTTCTTCTCCATAACATGGCTTGATTTTTTTTTGTTTATAAACCCTGTTGCCTTTTTCAGTTGATGTCTTGTTAGTGTTTTCCTGCTCATGTGTCTGTTCTTGATATGAATTCACTTCAATAAAATGAAAATGACACGGAAACTTTTCCTGGTGAATAATTGTAATGTCCTCAGTTCAGTGGAAACACATGTATTCAGCCATTAATCGGACATCCATCCTTCCTAGATCCTGCTTTTGCTTCAGACGCCTGTGTTTGGAACCTTTCCGTCTCAATATGTACATCTGCAGTGTTTAAGGACTTCTATAGGCTCCACAGTAAACTCGGTCAGTGTAATGAAATGATTACATGACACAAATCAGCCCGTTTAAGTCCGACATGGCTCATTAGCAATTATAGGACTTATTTCTCAATTAGAAAGCAATTTTGAGGTTTGAAGCTCCCCCCCCCGGTGTTTCTGGCTGAGGACTTTTGTAATTTGCCATCTCTAGTTCACATTTTGAATTTACTAAATAGACAACACTTCAAAGTAGATATCCTGTTGCTTTAACATCTCTTCTGAGTAGGCTTCCAAGTTGTGTTTTAACCCTTCAAATATTCAGTATCTGAATAAGCACTACCGATTAATCTGACTCAAAGCAACCATAAATAGTGAAACTGAAAAATTGAGATTTCAGAAACAAATGTGACATTCATCTTCTCTGACTCTTAACAGCTAACCAAACATGTGCATTTTCCAAAACGTTAAACCATTCCTTCAATAAAAAGAGGCAGCATTTAGCATAATAAAAACAGAAAAACATTTATCTGGTTGGAATAAATTTATTTGATCTGTCTGTAAACAAAGTGATAAATCAATTTATGGCATTTCTTGGTTTTATGCATATGAAATCAGATGCATTATAAGATACTATCCCAGATGTAAGAAGAAAAAAAAAGTGTTGAGGAGAAAGGAAATGAACATAAATCAGCAAACAGGACTTGAAACAGTTGTTTTTGAGTACACATATCTCACAAGGCCTAAACAGTGGAGCGGAAGCAAATAATAGAAAAAGTGCCAATGAAATGACTTTTTAGTGGACAGTGGGTAAAATCCATCTTACAACAGCAACAGATCTCTATATTATGGCACAGGATACACAGGTTCTGCACTTCAGTTTCAACAAGACAACCAGAAGCGTCTTCGTTCCAACCAATCCCATCTCCCGTTGAGTGTCACTTCTACTTTTAAAAGGTTTTTTTATTTTATTTTTATATCAGTTGGACGTTACAGTTAGCAGAAGTGAGCGCGGACAGACCGTGTGATACCCCAGAACTCAGCTGACTACAGAGTAAAGGCAATTTATTCCACAGTTTTGTAGTTGTCAACACAGCATGGGTTTGTACAAATGCAGTCGTTTGTTTTCTAAACAAAAAAAGAAAAAAAACAATGTAGTGAGAATTTTCTTCAGATACTCCCACCCTTACCTGCCCTGTAGCTTCAGATGTTTTTTAACCATAGTAAGCATTATTGTCTGGTTAGTGTTTCCTTCATCAAAAAGAGTTAGCAGTCATCCTTCACATGGTTTGGAGCAATTGTATAAACACCCGAGCTTCGACTACACTTGGTCCTATAAAAATAAAAATAAATTCAAACTGGACACCTTCCAGGTGGTTGTATGCTGGGATAACTACTGTCCAAAAATGGCAGCCTTTCCAAAGATAAACAAAAGAAAATATATTACAGGAGCTGGCAAACAAAAACAGTATTAAGTGCCTGAGCCATTGTTACTGTGGAATGTCCTTGGGGTTTTTGTGTTGTGATGACGGGAGGAGAGGCTACCGGCATCTGGACGACAAACGCTCTCAAATCCGGCTCATGGTCGTCAGCTGAGCCGGTCCGAGCACCCCCCCCCCATACACGCTTTCCCCCCCCTTTTATAAAATGTGTTCAGGACAGAGCAGTGGATCTGGAGACAGCGGGGTCGGAGGACTGGTTGGTTGCTGTGTAGTGTTAGATCAAGATGAGAGTTCTGTGAGGTTTGTAGTGTCGCCTGCTTTGAGAACAGGATGTGGAAACGGAGAGGGGGAGGAACTCAACATTTTTGGCAGGAGGGGGTGCGCGGGGGGGGCGGAGAGAAGCGACAGTTGACCGGCGTATGCATGCAGTCTCCCCTCCGGACATGGAGGAAATTAAACCAGAAGTCGTGACGAGCTGGGTTACCGCTCAAGTGCTCTAAAAGGCATCGGCTGCTCAGGAGGGAGTGTGTATTGTCGGGAGGGAGGGATTAAGAATCATGACAGAGAAATCAAAAGGAAAGGTTTACTTCAAATTGACGCTTTAGCTTTCATTGTCCGAGTGTTTGGCCAGGTTTTTTCTTTTGCTGGTCTTGGTTAAGTACAGATTTGTCAAGACATCCTGTTAGCAACATGCTCATCTTTGCTATGGATCAACTTATAGTGCTTAAGGGATAAGAGTACACAGCACAAGTGTGTTAATGGGGAGGGGAGGGGGATAACAAATAAGGAGGAGAGAAGGCAGAAAAACAAAAGTAACTACCAACTAGGACTGGAAGAAGTGTGAAATGCAACAGGGTGGTAAGGGTGAGCTGCTAGGTGGCGGGGTGTAGGCTGCTTTAGTATCCGGACTTCCTCAGGTACTCAGCCATATGAAATGCTTTCTTGTTGAGCTGCCCTCCATGGACACCTTCCTTCCCCATGACAAAAACCAATGCTAGAGTACACAAAAGAAGAAGCAAAACAAAGGAAATGAACAGACGTGGTGATAGCAGGACTGGAAAATATACTTCTTTTATTGCCACCTTGCTAAATTCAATTCAAAACCTTTATTTATCCTAAATGTGGGCTACATTGTTGACAGAGCCTGAACCCTGTGCTATGTTAGAAATGCTCCTGGGATTTTGTTTAAATCGGACAGTTTGGGGAAACATGGGCTCGACAGTAATTATTTTATTTGTTTTTTATCTTTTATCAAAGTTTGATATTTTTCGTTTTCCTTTTTGTATGTTTTTTTTAATCTCCTGCAACTAAGCCACATAACTACATGAAAACTAAACTAAAACCCCGAATCCCTCAAGTATTTTGCCATGGAGAATGCCTTCTTATTCAATCCGCCTCCATGGACCCCTTCTTTGCCCTTTACCAAGACCAAGACTGAAAGAAAAGAGACAGAAGACATTTAGAGAAAGTGCGGAGAGCCCACACGTGAAAAGAGAAGTGCTAAAAGCAGCAGGCAGACAGACGGCTACAGAGGAGGACAATGGCACAGAAACCAGAGCGGCTGTATCGAGTCTAAACATTCATTTCTTGTCAGTGCTGCTGGTGGTGAAGACATCACACATTACAATAGGGAAGTGATCACAGCGGGAGATTAAAGTAAAGGACGCATGCAAAGCTGTTCGCCAGTCTATCAGGCAGAGCTCAGAGCCGTAGTGACTGTTGTGTTCACTTTAAACTCTCATGACTATCACTGAGAGTGAAGCAATGTTTGATAGGTCTATTGATTCAAAAGAAAAAAGGAGCACATTCTCCAAATCAAACTTTGACCACAATTTACACTAAATCCAGACAATTTATTGATTTAATGTATTTAAATAAATAAATATATCTATCTATCATTAATAAGCTTTTATAAGACATGAGATAAACAGGGCAACTGTGACCGGTTGCTTGCCAAATAGTGAGCCCACATTTATCTGTACTGCTAAGCCTTATGGCTACTTAGCTTACTTCATCTTCTTCATTAGCCAGCATCCTTGGTATCTGTTGCTCACCGAGTTGATTCTCGCTAAGCAGCCAATATAAGGCTTATTCATCTTGCCAAATAGTGAGCCTGTGTTGATGTATGAAAACTATGTTAGAACTGGTTTATAAATGGTTCTTAATGATTAATAAAGTGTTTACAACCTAATTACAAACCCTTTATGAGGGTAGTCTTATTGTAAAGTGGTACCGACATTTCTTTGCAACAAGTCCAAAGGTACCACACTGGTTGCCATAAATGCTGCAAAATCAGCTTTTCTACTAATTTTCGATAAGCGACCAGGTGTTAGGATCCAAGGAGCTAAGAATTCCTCCTGGTTTCCTCTGTAATCATTACACGCCATGCCAGCAGCAGAGACTAGGAAATGTAAGCTTCGACTGGATACTGCCCATGACTAATGCGGCACACATGCAGAACCAGCAGCATGCGTGTGGTACCTCTCCTCAATACATGTAAGAGCCCTGTAATGTAAGTCTTTTACTGGCCGTAGTGGAAGCGAGTGACCAGCGGAACAGATTCATACTTTTGAGGGTAGGGTGTGTTAACCAGGAAAGAGGAAGGGGCATGCAGTTTAGAAAGTTTAAGGAAATCCCGGCCCAAAGAGTGAGCCCGGTGAGAGGAGAACAGGAACCAGTTACAGTCTTACCTCTAAGGTTTAGTCGTTTCTGGGTAAAGTGGGGAGGACAGGGCATCGGGGCCCATACAGGCAGCCGGATAGCTGGCACAACTCTCAGGCATATCACATTCATTTTTTTTGACAGTTAGGTGTAGGCCTTTTAAAGCCAGTCATTCTAAAAATAAATCTGTAGGCATATACTTTTTATTAATTAAAGGATTTACAATAATGAACGCAGCCAATCAGAATTTTCATAAAAGTCAAGTTCATAAATTGGGTTATTTATTCCATTAACTTTAAATAAATCTTTGTTTAAATAGAGATCAATGAGTGAGTTCTGACCTCTGTGGTAAACAGTGTCAGCTGTGCAGCACAAACCACATGGCAGCTTTACTGCTGTTTAACACACCCAACATGTGGGAGTTACAATCAACTAATAAACCTTCAATTTGACTCAGAATGTATTGGGGTGGAGGTTAAGGGCTAAATAGTAGCAAGTAAGTATTAGAAGTGTATCTACTGTTTTGCAAACTTTTATATAGAGTAGGGACATAATGTAATTACATTTTTTCAAATCATGGATTTTGTTCTAATACATTTTATTTCAGTGGCTTATATTAGTTATCAGAATTGGGATATATACGCCAGGAGCCAGGAAATCCCTCAAGACAACCAATATTTAAGACAGATATAAACGATAAGAAACTGGGAAAGACACGTTGTCAATTATTTAGAATGATCTGTAAGATGTCTAGACTTTATTACCGATGCTATCAAAATATATCCTGCTCTATTTAATTCAACTGATAAACAGCTGTATCTGATTGAAGTAATGGCATAGAGGATTAATACGTCATATTTTAAGGGCATTTCCTTTTACCCGTCCTCTTTATATGAACTTGCCCCTTACTAACCTGTTACTTATCAAGACTACATTTAGCTGATATGCAGTTGTTCCCCATCATAATCAAACTACATTCAATAATAACAGACACCTAAACACCTGTGTTCATCATATATTGAGGAAAGGTGCATTCAAGGTCTATCCCACATGCAGACAACACAAAGGTCTGTAACTGTAGCTAAACTAACGGCACTATCATTCAGGCTCTGCTGTCACTGTAGCACTACTGAAAGCTTTCTGACTGACACTGAACGAGGTGCTCACCTTTGCCGGCTCTGCCTACAGAAATGTTGTATGTTGGCTCTCCTCCTGAACTCTTTGTCCGGATGTCCATTGTCCAGTCGCCGTCAACAGGGAGGCTGTCTCTGATTACGGAGCACTTCTTATTGCCTAAGGTCATCCCACCGCAGAAGAATGCCTCACGGTCCTTCCCTGTTAGGACGTCAATTTCTTCAGGCTAGAGGCAAACACAAAACCAAGAAATTAGGTACATCCATTTTAAAAATGCAAAATACTGATTAATTCTGTCAGAGACTGCTAATTATTTTACATTTGGCCTTTTGTAGGCGTTCTTCTAATGCTCTTTGAATACAATTCTGATTAATTCCACGAACGTGTTGGTGCGGTCAAGCCTTTTGAGAAACAGGTCTTTCAAATGAAGAGCCGGTAGGAAAACATTTTTTTCCTCAGCAAGCAATACCTTACAGAGCCATTAAAGGACACACTCCTGAGATGTTGCATCATTTATGAAGCAACAAGAACATATCTGAACAACTCATTTTCAAATAAAAACCCTTTCACAATATTTATCATAAATATATCATACATTAAACTGGTACTAATGTTTTTGAAGGATTCAAATGTTATCTTTTATCAAAAGAAGGACTAAAACACTGTTTAATTCAACTAATGTAAACCGTGGACATATGGACGATAGTCTTAGATGATTAACGAAGCTAGTTCCTTTTATTAAATCCCACAGCATAAAATGACCTGCCTCTCTCCAGTGTGGCTTAAAAGACATTAAAAAGGTTACACACTGTCAAAGGTCTCCTGTACCATGCAAATCGTAAGACCCAAGTGTTGGGTTAGAGATTTAGAAAATTGGCACTTTTGGGATTGAATATGGAGTTTAATTCCAGATGACATGGGGTGCAAGTCTACAAATATATTTGCCCTTTACCTGAGATGATCTATAGAATACTATGAGCTCTTGGGTATCCGAGGTTATCACTGGAATCTTACATCCCAGCAGAATAAAATAATGCTTCAGACTCTAGTGCGAGATGTGTTACTTTAAGGCCTTTCACTCCTTGTACTAGTTGCATCCAATTCTGGTTCTCATTTATGGTCACAAACACTTCCATAGAAAAGAGGCTTCTTATATTGTTAGACAGTGTAAAATGCTGCAATGGTACAAAAATAAAGTTGTTTTTTAAAGACATCCTAATAAACAAAACAAAAGTCTGTCGATTTGTTAAAAGCTTTTTTGTTTTACACTTTGGGGACAGTATATGTAAATCAAGTCTTTAGAAATGATATCTAGCAATACACTGTTAAAGACAATAGTGACTCCAATAGCCGACAAGCCCTGAAATATCTAAGGCCCACTGCAGCTGACCAAAACAATGGCAACAAATATTCTGTAAAAGAGTGCTACTGATTATGTGAAAAAGTGTATTTCACTACACTCTTTACATGGTACAGATTACCCTAAATGGTCTTTGAACCAATCTGCAGAACAAAAGGCGTCGCCCCTTAACTCAAGAACTGCGCAGTCATGGCACACACGAAACGCTTCAGGACAAAACTGGAAACTCAAAGGATTTCTACTGACTCAGACACAGTTAGCATGGCGGCTAGCTGCACGTTAAGGCCCGGTCAAAGGATGCATTACAGTCACCGGCTTTCTACCCATCGAGAGCCCGCGCTGTGTAAACTAGCACTGCCGTTTCACAGATTCTGCTTCATACAGCGAATTTGGTTTAGCTAATTTAATCAACTGGTATATGCAAAAACAGGCTAGCTAAGGTCGAGAGCAAGCTGGTAATATGGCAATTAGCTCTGGCTTCACATGAGACTTCCAGAAGGACAGAAATATGTAATTTAATTGAATGCGTCCAAAGATAACGTTACTCTGAGCCGGTTGTGCGAGCGGACACTCCCGTTAACAACTCGTGCACTCGTCTGAAGCATGGGCTGCCATTTTATACCCAACATTCTCCTAAAAACGAACGTGTGTCCGATTCAAATTACAGCTAATCAACTTCACACAAGTACGTTTTAATTATCGCCTTATACATTTATTTAACAGACAAAATGGAGGCTCAACGAAGCAGTGAAGACTGTTTAGCAAAGTTATATTCAAGTAAATGCTACCATCAACATAGGTGTATGTGCGGTTAGTTAAAAAAGTAAAGAAAGACAAAAGGTGGATGGCTTATGTAATGGTTAACCGAGACTAAACTGCTCGATTGGCTTCCATGAACAAAATGAATAAGAAACTGGGAGTGTATCCGCCATCTTGGAAAAATAAGGGGCGGTAGCAGCAGTGCGATCCACAGAAACAGAGCAGGGAAAAAAGAGAAAGACCAACGGAACCCAAGCGAGAAAGTACGCATTGCGAGGCACCGCTCCAGTTGCGCTATTAGCGTTAGCTGATAATGATTTTCCAACGGGGATGACCGGCCTGATTTGAGCTAACCGCGAGTTGTAGTCTGCTAACCAATATTACCGTTACATTGTGTGGTATGCTAAAATTAAATGAACTAATAACAAAATCCAAAAGTAATGGTTTATAAAAATAAGAGTGGGTAAAAAACAAATGATTGAAATCCGCTATGCTTTCTCCGCCTCCCTCGTCTGACCGGTATCAAAGACAGACGCGGCTGGTAAAGCTAGCGTTAGCTGGAGCTAGTCTCTTTAGCTTGAGTTTGCGGTATTGTTTGTCACTGGCTTTGGTTTCCCCGACTGGTCTTGTGACAATTTCTAAAAACATTACCTACAAATAAATGTAACGTTAACTGGAAGTGATGAAAACCATACCACACTGCTGGTGGGTAGAAAAGCAACGGTTCGTACGTGCCAATGCATCTTGATTGTGACCACCGGATACCATGTGTACCACACACCGCTCGCCTTATCCTCATTCATCAAGGCCTGGCTATGCAGGGAAACCCACCGGCATGCAACATGACTGTTCCTCTCATGTAATCATAGATACTGACACACAGAGCGTACTAACCGTTATGTTGGCAAATGTACCGCCGACAGAAGATGCCCAGACGTATTTGGCGTCCGTGTACCCAACAATGGCCGTGTCCTGGCAGCTGCCATCAGCCATCAGGTTGTCCACGTAGCTTTGCCAGGACATGTTTGTGAAATTAGTTCTAGGACGGAAAAAGACGAAGGGTCAAGTTAGATCACAGAGGTCTCTTGAGCGACGAAGACGCAGTGAAGAAGCTGTATTTATTGGGCCTCCAGCAAGCAGAACCCCCCCGGCTCCGTCACGTCCCGGCTTTCTTCTGGTCTAGGAAACGAAGAGAAGCCGCTGCATTCGGACAGGCGCTTGGGTGTAGTCCTCACTAAAATCACTCCGCCCAGGTCGTTGTTCGCCCTGCTGCCTCATTGCATAATAAAATGCGCAGCGGATGAATATACCGTGGCAAAAAACAAGACGGACTATTTTTTCTCTCCTCATCAGTTTCAGCTTACTATTCTTCTTATTTTTGTATGACTAATACGATGTTAAGGGAGTCTAAAATCACATTTACTCAGTTTGAGTGTGTTTAGCAACATTTGTCGTGGTTTGTGGTGTAGATCTCTGACATTTAATTTGCAAAGCAAAGTGGTGAAATAAATAACATTACTATGTAAAATAAAGAAAACAATTCACATTAGTGTTTACCTTATAAAGCTCCATTAACTTCTTACCTCTTTTTTTCTCAAGCTCTAACTCCCGGATCATACAATATCTTCATATTCACAGTTTTATTTAGCTCTTGATTTAAGATAACCACTCCACTTTAATCAGCTGGGCAGATAGATAAAAACATAAACACACTCAGCAGATTTACAGAAATCCATATAATGATTAGTCGTTTTTTTTTCTTTTGAGTTTTCAGCAGTCATTTGGGTTTCTTATCATCCACGAAGAGACAGGTAAAAACCTTTAAAAGGTCACTAGGTCATAATAGGGTGAAACATTCAGTAGCAATCGCACACTCTCATTATGCTAGGCCTAGGGGGCAATTTTGGATCACCAATATACATGGCTTAAATATCTCTGGATTAATATCCTGCTGTAAGTAGATGACACTTTTGTCAGGAAGGAAATATAGATAAAGTAAATAAAACGAGTGAATCTAAACCAGCATTTTATAGTCCTTAAAGAACAGTCCTAACGGAAGACTCCAGGAGTTGCCCGTCGTGCTAAGTTAAGGGGAGAAGCTATATTTCCATATATGTGTGTACGTTTACATTCTGAGCATACTTTCAGTCCAGGCTGTGTCCATGATGCAATAAAGCAGCGTCGATGTTGTATGGTTTTATTCAGGTTTCCACAAGTCAGATACATTCTCAAGATGTTAAAACCTTGTCAATACTAAATTACAAGTCACCAAATTTAAGAATATTTGGAAAATTCTTCTTGTGAAAATATAAATGGTGTTGATAGACATTTTGTGAGTTAAAAAAAAAAACCCAAAACCCCAGTATCATACAGTAACTACACTGAGACATTAAACAAGTGGTAAAAACATAAAACCTTCATGTATTAAAGAAATATACAAATGAATAAACAAAACCAAAGTTATTAATGGGGATGCTTTCATAAACAGTGTGTTTGTTTCAGTGTTTTTTACTACAGAAGGTTAGGGTGCAGTTTCTCAGTTATCCAAGTGCGGTGAAATCAAACCTGTGACGCCTCTTTTAAAGACAAGCATGAAAATCTCAGGCGATCATGCACTGTGTGTATCAACAGTGTATGTTTGTGTTTGCTCTCTGGAAACCATAATGAGGTAAGCACATGACTGTTTTATGATCTTTCTAGCCTTTATTCTTTCAATGTACACCAACTGTAAATTCACAGAACACAAAGACACGCTGTAAACTCTGGGTATACAAATGGATGTTCATCTCCTAAATCTGAAATCCTGCGTTATTTCTCTTATTGAGGTAATAACATCTTTGAGGTTTATCCAGGGATATTAATTACCTACTTGAGAAGTATTTTTTCAGCACCATGCACCCTGCAACATGCTTTATAAAGTAGCAAAAGGTCACTTGGAGCTACTTCTATTGAGCAAAAGAATGTAGGCCCCTGGTTCAAATCAACCACAGTTAAGACGTGAATGGAAAGCATATTATTATTGACTCACAGCACAGATATACCTGACTTTAAAACACACATTATGGACATCAAATCAATCATTTACATTTAGACCAGTGTAAAACTAAAGGTAAACAACTAACTAAACAACCATTGCAAGTGAGATGGTTTAACTTGTCTGAGCTCAGTTCATATTCACAGATACTGCAGGGGTTGTTCTTCTACATCATGTGACTGTTTTATCTTTAAGAAACTTCCAGTGAATAATTTGTTCTTCTCTGTGACGGCAGAACAAGTTATTAATTGACCAGGCAGTGAGCGACTTGTCAATCAGTCAGCCGCCCACACCCATATCCTATTCTCCCATTGGATGCTGTCAGTTTCCATGGTCACCTCTGTTTTGCACTTCTGCTCTGTCAAAATAGTAGTGCTCACAGTCAAACCACTGCGCATGAGTCACATGAAGGAGCAAACTTGTTTGCTTTAGAAAAGGCTTGGCTTTGGACAAGACCATTAGCATCATAACAGCTGGATAACACAGAGATAAACACAAGTGTCCTGCAGGCTATATCAGTTTTCTTTTTCTTTTTTGCATACACTTGTTGTCCATATTTGACCATTCATGGTAGAAGTTTGACTATGTCATTACAATGTGTGAATGGATAGAAACAATCCTGTATCAATAGTGTTAAAGACAGTGAATCAGTGTAGTGCACTCTCTGACTCTGACACCTGGCACTGTGCCTTTCTGTTGGCTTAGCAGGCGTATGCATGTATACAGTACCGCGTGCCTGCAACTGATTTATAAACGTACCCATTGTTTTTTTTACCGGTTTTTGGCTCAACATACAGATATTTTGAATGAAGTGGAAAACCCCAAGACTACAAAGATGTGAAACGTGATAAGTAAACTTCTTCGAAAAGCAACAATACCTTTGCAGTGAAGCTGCTGACAGCCAACATTGTGTGTCTTTATGGCCTGCGACCCCCATAAAACAAAGCAATGCATACCTCCCAGTCCCCAGTCACTGCAGAATGACTAACAGTCCAACAAGCTGTTTTCCCTTTTTTAAGGCTGTTTCCATTCAGACCCTTTTAGGTTTTAAACAATTTAGCTAAATTGTAAACATTGTAAACATGCAAGTTACATATCTTAAAGGTGGGATAGGTAATTTTGGAGAAACCAGCTCGAGTGCGCTAGAATTTGAAAATACACAGCTGGAAAAAAATCTGCCACTTCCTTACAGAGCCCCTCTTCCAACACACACGAACGCGCACATGACCAATGAGGGCACGAGATAAGTTTGTGCACAGATGGAAGGCTGACAGGCAGGTAGGCCATCCAGTTATTTTAGCCGGGCCGGGTCAGATGATTGGTCGTGCTTTTTACAGCGCCACGGCTTCCACCGATGACATTTTTGTATGGTTATTTTGTCAAAGCACTTAAGATATTCATTGCTATCGGGATGTTAAGAGCATTCCATGGAATATAACAACAAGTGTATCTCGAGCCGGTTTCTCAAACTTAAATACCCCACCTTTAATCATTTTATTTTTGCATATATGTATTTAGTGTTTTTAAAGGATAACGCTGGAGATGTTCCTTTTTATTTTGTCAACAGATCCCATGAAAACACCATAATATTGTAATAATGTTGTAATAATTCCCTAAATATTCTCTGACTTCTCTTCCTGTTTGTCTGTAGTACATTTGCTCCTCCCCTTAAGACTTCCATTTTTAAAAACACACCACAATTATATATTTTTACTTTGAATCAAAGGCTTGAATTATTATTTTTTAAACAGTGGGGCATTGTAACTTTTAGCAATGTTACTCAAACTCGATTTGCCCTAGGGAATTAATACAATGCATCTTCTTCTTTAAAGAGATGGATAGTGCATTATTTGTTAGGGAGTATTTCAGTTAGTGGATGAATACACATGTGATGTATTATTGAGTTTCTATAGCATTAGCACAGTGTTTGTTGGATCAATTCTAAAAAACGTACAGCATTACGATTAAATCATCAAAGGAGCTTGTCACAGTGCAACGTTAAGGCCTAATTTTGTGTTTTAAATCATTTTTAGATGATAACCGAAGTCTATGGCACAGAGAACAATTACAGTTCGGCTACAGACAGAACTTCTTGGTGTAGATTCTTAATAAAATCACAGAACAAATGCTAATCAATACGTTTATACTGAAATGAGTACAAGAGTAGAACAAGTTTTTATTCTTAGTTGATCTATCGTAGAAGCATCGAACATGACAGAGGATGCAGGTCAGAGCTACAGCTGCCTGAGCGGGCCTGAAGATATCAGCGTGCAGTCCTGACTTTAACTCTGACACTGCAGGAGGCTCTGCTTTGTCTTTTAGTCTAAACACAGTGCATGCCATTTTTTCACCTCAATTGGACACAATTATTTATTCATGACTCTACTTCGCTCTTTATCTTGTGTAGCAGTACAGAGGGTCGACCTATTTTTAACTCACACAGGTGAACATTCTCAGATGCCGATATGCTTTGGTGTATTTTTAATGAGATTTATCACTAAATAAATAATTTCCCCTCCATGACACATGATTGGCTGATCTTTGGATTCAAGCTTAAATCACAACATTACCCACAGAGATATTCAAAAAGCTTTTTCCTTACAACTTTTGGCAGAAATGGTGTGTGTGAGTGTTGGTTTTCTAAAAACAATCTCCACACCACATCAAGACTTAAAAATAACTATCCTTTGATTGCCATTCCTTCTTGAGGCATCTCAGCAGTGCAGGGTATTAAATATTAAGCAGCAGGAAAGATAGAGCTGTGGCGCTGCTCTGTTCCTAGAAAATGTCTCACCAGTTCCCAGGTGTGTCACATACAAAATAAATCAATAGTAGCCAAGGAGTGGGGGTGGGGGGGCTAAAGATGCACACATCCTCTCTATTTGAGACACTGGAAGGCAAAAGCTTTGACAGTTGTGTTGTCAGAGGCGGTTTAACATAATGAGCATCCCTTCAAGAATGTGTATGAAGGACATTTTCTCAACGAGATCAGGGTAGAGCTGGAAAAACACTGCTATAGTTTGATAACATATCTCTTGTTCATGGTAGCTTGGGATGAAACATGCTAGCCTGACTCCAGTAACCTTTACCCCCTCAGGGAGGTTAGTGTGGGAGGTCAAAGGTGGTCCATCTGCACGGCCAGCAGAGTCAGTATGTGTTGGACATATCGGTACATACAATGAGGCAGTC